TAAAATAAACTTGAGGACAAACATAGTTATTTTTTTAATTTTGAAACTAAAACAATAGACATTTTAAAAATCAGGATCCAAAATGAAACGAAACTGAAAATTCAAGCCTAAAATAAGATCTAACCATTATATTTTTTATTTGGGATTTTGGGATATCGGGTTTATTATTTAGTTTCTAGAATTGAAAAGGCTTCGGTATTTGTTAGTTTTTTTTTTATTTTATTTTATTAGATTTGAGTTGATTGAGTAAGTATTTATTTTTCCTCGTGAGTTGATTTTATCGATGAATCACTTATGATCGTTTACTAAAAAAAAAGTAAAAATAGATTTGTATTTTCTTACCGACCAATGTCAAACAAGTCCAAAACTCGATGCCAACCAACCTACGTACGCTTCTACTTTTAACGATAAAAAATAATTCAGAAAAAAAAGAAAAAGTGAGTGAATTGTAAAACAGTAAAAATGATAGAAAAGCAAACATGGATCTCGATAAACTCAATTCAAGGCTGTGCGTGGGTGTAAATAGTGTTGAAAATATAAAAAATATTTAATTTATTTCTTGGGAAAAAAAGAAAAAAAATGTCAACAATCAAAAGCAAGAGGACAGAGCCCTACAAGTGTAGGGATAGGGGTCCCAATCTGCTCTGAATGTGGGCCCAAACTAAATCATAAACCTAATCATTTTCAAATTATATTGCCCTACTTTCTCTCTTCTCTCTCCTCTCTCCTATTCTTTTCTTTCTTTAATATATTTTTATTTTTAATTTATATATATATATATATATATATATTTGTATTAATAAAAGTATCATTTTATTTATTAACACTTTTTTCCTAAATATTTATAAAATTTTAAAAGAAAAAAAAGTTAATTTTTTTTTTTACTATCGTATATTATCTCTGAACTTTTTAATATTACTTTTAAAAGGTCAGAGTATTTTTGAAACGTGTCAATTTTAAAGTTTTTTTTTATAAAGTTTAAGGGTTACAGTTAAACTTTTAAGAATTAAAGGATATTTTAAACTTTTAAGAATTAAAGGGTATTTTTTTAAATATTTTATAAAGTTATTTTTTGAACGAGCATTTCTTAGACAAAGTATTAACGATTTTCATCTAAAAACTAATTATAAGGATATTTTTTAACATATTTGAAAGTTCAAGGTATTTTTTAGATTTTTTTTTAGTTCAAAGTTATTATTGAAATTTTTAAAAGTTTAGTTTAGGGTCTCTATTTTGAATTTTATTCCATCTTAATTATAATATTTATTATTAGTTTTTTTTTTTTTACTTTTCCGTAATAAAAGAATCTTAGTTAATATTTCCTTTATAAAATTTTAAAATATTTAAAAGTAGTCTTTTGCTTAAAATTATTTTTATTATTTAATCCATTTTCATAACAAATAATTTTAAAAATTAAATTTAAAATTTATTAAGAATATATAAACTAATTTCACCTGACTAAATTTAAATATCTGCTTTTGCAAAATTATGTTTGCACCAGAACTAAAATGTCCAAAATATACTATAAGCGAATAGGACTAGTCATCGCCTCTTCTTACACGGGTTATATACTATTAAAGTCGTTGCCTAAACGCTTTTAGCTTATAACATTGTTTTCTTTCAAATTGTCTTCAACGTATTTCTTAGCACACGTTTTTCAAAACATTTCTCTCAAACATGACTCAAGCTTCAAGCATATGCTGACATTGTCCACGAAGTTCGAATTTTTCACGACTAACTTGTTCTCTGGGTTAGAACAAATGTTGTACAATTGCTATCCCGCTACTGTAAGAGTACAATTATGACATATACCGGGAGGGATGAAGAGACATCTTGATTGTAATTGAATGACCATGTACCATGAGTTATTTAAACCCTTCTATTTGTTACAATAAGGACAATTCAGATGCTCAGCATCTGAGATCAGTAGCAAGACAAATAAAACAAGTACCCTAGTTTATTTAGGGTATTAAAGGTGTAAAAAGAAAAAACAAATCAAAATTAATTTGTTTAAAATCGTGTATTTTTTTCAAAAATTACAATATTACCCTTGCCGTTTTTATACCTTCCAAAGGTGTTCTTGGAGAAGAAAAGGCGTCCGCACATTTTAGATCTCAATTTTTGTTTTAGGCCACGTGTTGGGTTGGCGTGGGTTTGTGTGCTAATGAGAATGATGTATGGGTGAGAGCATGGCCTGAGCGCTCGTGTGCATGCTAAGACCTATGGCCATGGCATGCTCATGGGCACCAATGCTGATCATGCTCGCCAATCTGGCCCAGGTGCTCTGCTTGTCGTCGTGCACGTGCGCTCTACATGACTTTGAGTGCATGCGCTAAGCCCTACGCCGCATCAACGCCCCTCTCACCCTTGCGCGCACATCATGCCCGCCAATACCTATCCAACGCAAGCACAAGTATTTTTGTAACAATCAAGATCCATCGCTCGTAGATATTGTTTGGTTTGCCTATTACGTATCACCGCTAGCCTCACGATTTTAAAACGCATATACTGAAGAGAAGTTTCTACACCTTTATCAGGAATGTTTCATTCAGCTCTGCAATCGAAGTAAGCGCGTGATAATTTGTTAGTTTATTTTATAGTTTAATAATATTATTAAAATTTCAATAATTGATGAGCAAAATCAAAACATAGAGAGAGCTCATAATTTGTTAGTCTCTAAGCTAGGCGCGTGCTAACAACGCTCTCATGTATTGGTTGGGTAATTGTTTCTTACAGCGTCGGTGAACCATACAAATCCATAGCGCGTGAAGTAATTTTATTGAATTATCCTCCATTTGACTTTTGTGTACAGCTGGCTGACAAATTTCCCATCAAAATATGGTACAAAGAAACATGGCCTTTTATCATTTACTTTGACGTTGACATCACACAGGCGGGTAAGATTAGAGGAGAATTAGTTATCATATGATTAAGAAGAGATTAGACCATTAAATCTATGTTTTAATTCCTAATACAATATTAGTCCTTATGATTCATTTTCCTCTCGGGACTCGTCACTAATGGAGTAGCAAAAACGCTCTTACCTAGACATGTTCACTGGGCGGTGTCTTTTCTATCTTCATCCTTGCCACCTATTTCATTTTTCATCCCGGCGAAATTCTCCATTTATTTCAATTGGGATTGTTAAAATATAATTACTGGCCTAATGGAATTAAAACCAATAATTGTACGAATGCATTGTCTATATATTTCGGGAACATGATTTAGTTATTTTAGGAATAAATTGTTTAGTTTCTCGTGTAAATACCCCTCCACCCAATCAAGTTTTCATCCCAAGAAATCTCGAACACAAAAGAGTGTAGTAGTTTCTAGATAGTGTCTTGTAATCTCTTCTCATTTGGTCTTAATAAAGAGTATGAGTGTTTCTCACAAATAATTGTGTTCATCAGGTCTTGGAGTGGAGATTCTAAGGAGAGAGTTCGTGACGGTTAGATTTCCTGGGGAAGAAAAGATAAGTGAGACACCCGAGTGAAGAAAAGATATATGAATGAACCGAGACCACATCTAAATGAGGTGCACCTTAAACTTAAAAGAATTAAAAATTAATACATATACCAATAAGGTGCACCTTTCTTTTCGGTGGTTCAATCATAGAAACTATATAGTTAATCTGGCTTTCTTTGAAACAATTCTATGATGGGTGATCTCGTGAGAATTTTTCTATGATGCATGTAAGTGTGGACAAAATATTCTGAAAAGCGCTCGGGGTAACCTAACCAAGTTGTAGGGATGCAAGAAAATGCTAGAGCCATTAGGTACGTAGGGGATGCAAAAGAATACCGGAGCGATCAACTTCTTCAAAAGCTAGATTTCTAACTTAAGTTCAACAATATGCTAGGCATAGGGCTCCGTTACGCTTTCCTTTCTCATTTTTGCGACCTTTCATTTCCTTGTTTCGTCATGACACACCTCGACACGAGTACCACCTGACTTAGGAGACCAGAAATGCCTTTCGTTTTCCTCCTTGGTCGGCCCTTATTGCCTTCCTTAACCGCCCTCGAGCCATATATATTTAATAAAGAAAAATGTCGGTGAGATGAGCTAGCCGACGATGATTCAAATTTTAATATTGTTTTTAATGAAACAAATCTTTTTAAAAATTTAAAGTTATAATCATTTAAAAAATGAAACAACTTTTTACTTGGTGAGGAGAAATAAACATTGTTTACAACTGTGTGGAAACGTTTCCGAATAGATCACTGTGTGGAAATCTCTCCCTAGCAGATCATTTCAAAAATCGAAGAAAAACCCAAAAAGAAAAGCCCACAAAAGATAATATCTGCTGATTCGATAAATGTTGAAACAAACGAAGAAAAACATTTTTTTTTTATTAAAAAAAACATCTTGAACTCATAAGAACATAAATCATGCTCAATTTTTTATAATTTTTTTTTGAAAAAAAAAACAAGAAATTCATGCATGGGTGGGAAGCACCATTTCCAAAGTGCTAAAGCTAATAAAGAACAAAAAAAAAAAAAGAAAAAAGTAATTGATTCTAATTGGGATTTAATTTGAAAGCTTTGTTTTGAAAAATTAGATTAATGGGTATAAAAATCTGCAAAATGGGTATTAAAAGCAACTCCAAATTCTCCTTTTGCTACCCCAACTTTTGTCATTTTGCTATCTTTTCTTCTAATTCACTTTCTTTTTCAATCTTTTTGTTTATATTCTCTCTACCCTCTCCTTTTTCCTTTATCTAATCCATGTGGCCTACCAAATTTACAATTTTGTCCCTCAAAACACGAACACGAGCCCGTTTCAAATAACTCTTTTAAGTGTTTGAGTGAAACCCTACATCGATTAGTCAGGAGAACGAAACATTTTTTATTAGGGTGTGAAAATCTCAGCCTAACAAATGTGTTTTAAAATCATGAGACTGACGGCGATACGTAACGAGTCAAAACGGACAATATTTGCTATCGGTGGGCTTAAAAAATCATCCCGACCCGACCCGAGTAGATCAGATGAGTGCAAAAACAAACAAAAATGAATTAGATTTATATATTTTGATTTGGGAGCTCAAAGGTTGATAGAAATTAGGAGCTGCTTTTCTTTAGCTTTCTTTTCTTACACTTCAATTTCTGTTCTAAGATATAATCATATCTCAAAATGAGTAGAAAACTAACCAATCTCTTTGTTTGCGTTCATCAAATTGGCCTTCCTAATGTGAATTCTAAATTTGGCTTGTGAGAGTTTGTCCCTCCACAATCATCGGACGATGAGCTTCTTTCCGATAGTCTCTCGTTATTTGAGCACTTCAGATCCGTATCATTCTGTGAATCAATTAAGAAAATTTTATTACGCTTCAAATACATAGTAAGTCAATCCAAACAGGCTTTGTAACTTCACTTCAAACAACAAAAATCTAACAAGTAACCTGAGCTAAGAATAATATCGAATAAGATTAGGGTTCTACTTCAGATTCTTCAATAATGTAATAACTCGGGCTAAGAATAATATCAAATAAGATCAGGGATCAGGATTCTACTGCAAATTCTTCAACAATGTAATAACTCGGGCAAAAAATAATATCAAATAAGATAAGGGTTTACATCAGATTCTTCAATAACGTAATGACTCGAACTAAGAATGATATCGAATAAGATTAGGGTTCTACTTCAGATTCTTCAATAACGTAATAACTCGGGCTAAGAATAGCATTGAATAAGATCAGGGTTCTACTCCAAATTCTTCAATAATGTAATAACTCGGGCTAAGAATAATATCAAATAAGATCAGGGATCAGGGTTCTATTGCAGATTCTTCAACAATGTAATAACTCGGGCAAAGAATAATATCAAATAAGATCAGGGCTCTACGTCAGATTCTTCAATAACGTAATGACTCGAACTAAGAATAATATCGAATAAGATTAGGGTTCTACTTCAGATTCTTCAATAACGTAATAACTCGGGCTAAGAATAACATTGAATAAGATCAGGGTTCTACTCCAAATTCTTCAATAACATAATAACTGAGGCTAAGAATAATATCAAATAAGATCAGGGATCAGGGTTCTACTGCAGATTCTTCAACAATGTAATAACTCGGGCTAAGAATATATCAAATAAGATCACGGTTCTACATTAGATTCTTCAATAACGTAATGACTCGAACTAAGAATAATATCGAATAAGATTAGGGTTCTACTTCAGATTCTTCAATAACGTAATAACTCGGGTTAAGAATAACATTGAATAAGATCAGGTTTCTATTTCAAATTCTTCAATAAACTCGGGTTAAGAATAATATCAAATAAGATCAAGGGGTTAGGGTTCTACTGCAAATTCTTCACCAATGTAATAACTTGAGCTAAGAATAATATCAAATAAGATCAGGGTTCTACTCCAGATTCTTCAATAACGTAATAACTCGAACTAAGAATAATATCGAATAAGATCAGGGTTCTACTTCAGATTCCTGAATAACATAATAATTCAGGTGAAGATAATATCGAATAAGATCAGAGTTTTACTTCATATTCTTCAATAATGCAAGATCAAACTTTATCTCCTACAATATATCATATCGAAAGATAGGGGAGATAAAATAGAGTACCTCGAGGGACGAAGAAAGGTCCCGAGAAGAATCGTTTGGCAAACCATGCAACCAAGCTTCCCTATTAACATAAACAAAGCAAGAAAGGGAGCATAGTTTTCAAATTAGAGCATGCAAAGCAAGAAAAGTGAAGGAAAAAGAAAGCTACAAATCTTTTTTCACTTTGCATTTGGTGCTTTTGATTGATAAAAAAGCAACACCAGCCCCATGTGATAACCCATTACTAAACCCACAAACTACGAGGAATTTGCAAACTCCATATTCAAAAGAACAAAGATAAAAAAGCTTTGTTTTTAGGCACCAAAATTTCCACTAATGGGTCCATCAAAAGGGCTTAGCTTTGGCACTAAGTTTCTTATTGCAGGTCCCATTTGAATAAAGTCTCCATATTTGAGCCCCACAAAATCCAAAACATGGAGATTTCTCCCTCTCTCTCTTGGAATTAGGGAGTTCGTGTGCTTTCTTTTTACATCCTTTTCATCCATTTTAAGAGACTATGTTCATAATTGCCTCATCATTATTGGTTGATTTAAGTTCTTGAGCTGGTCGATCCGTTCTTGTTCGAACCCGTTTAAAGTAATTTTGACCTAACTAAGTTTACCGTAACCCATTAAGCTTAAGATTTCAAATAGATTATGTAGTTCACCACTAACAGATATTGTCTTTTTTAAGTTTTCCCTCAAAGTTTTGAAAACTCATCTGTTAGAGAAAGGTTTCCGCACCCTTATAAAAAAATGTTGCGTTCTTCTCCCCAACCCATTTAAAATTATTTTGACATAACTAAGTTTACCATACCCCATTAAGCTTAAGATATCACAAAGATTATGTAACCGTCCAAGTTCACTCCTAGCAAATATTGTACTGTTTGGTCCCTGTCTCCTTCAAATTCCCCTCAACTAGGGGAGAGATTTCCACACCCTTATAAACAATGTTTCGTTCTTCTCCCCAACCGGTGTGAGATTTCACAGATTATGATTTAACGTCTTTCTTACTTCCTAAGTTGAATGGATTACGGTAATTAAGTTTACAGTAACCCATTAAACTTAAGATATCAGATAGATTATGTAACAACCCAAGTTTACCGCTAGCAAATATTGTCCTCTTTGGGCGGTCCCTTTCGAGCTTCTCCTCAACGTTTTTAAAACGTTTGCTAAGGAAAAGTTTTCACACCCTTATAAAGAATCCTTCATTCTCCTCCCAAACCGATGTAGGATCTCACAATTTACGATTTAACATCTTTCGTATTTCCTAGGTTCGAATCTTCTCATAATTGTGTCGAGAAAACAAAAAAAAAGGCACAAGAATTGAATTATCACCTTGAAGAATTGCTCCAAAGGGCATGATAATCCTCGTCTTGAAGAGGGTTTTGCCTTGTTGTTTGATGAACTAAGCTCTCATTTTGCCTTCCCGTGGCTGGCTTTTGAATATCAAATATTATATCTTCAATATTGCTTGTGTCCCCAGATGAAGCATTTTCATATAAATCTGATTGGCCTATAAAAATATTCAATAAAAAAACTTTAAAAAACGATTTAAAAAGAAAAAAATATATACTTTTTTTTTATAAAAAAAACACACCTGAAGAAGCTGCAGCTCTGTCTGTAGTCTTCACTGTTCTGTACATCTGCAATAGATAAATATATATATATATATATATATATATATATATATTTAATCAAATTATGAGTTTTTATTGGATAATTTAAACAAAAATTCCAAAAAAATAATAATAAAAAAGACAGAGAAATCAAGAACAAATCTATGTTTTGTTCACAAAACACAGACAATTATCTCAAATGTTTTGAAGATTTTAATGATGTAAAAAACATTTAATCTACATTAAATTTGAACAGCTGCTCTCATTTATTCATCGAAGAGAACAGTCTTCTCTGAGCTACCTTGTCTTGTGTGCATGTGTTCAGATGAATTAATAAAAAAAAAAATTAAAAATTTTAATTGAATTGAATTGAATTTTATTTTATTTTACTCATAGTTGGTATGGCTCATTCTCCCAAGCAAAAAGCTGTTTGTTAGCTAGCAGAAGCAGAACCATCAGATCTAGAAGAAAAATAAAAGCTAAGAATTTGAGCCATTTTGCAGAGCATTTTTAAAGAAGAAAAAAAAAAACATTGGAATTTGAAAAAAAAAAAAAAAAAAAAAAAAA